ATTTTTTGATGTTGAGATAGAACATGAGATATATGATAAGCAGGTTCAAAAGTAGGTTGCTTTTAAGGGCAAAATTGTGTCATTTTTTGAGACCACATGACGTATAAAAAGAACTACATTTCTGTCATTAAAAGCCAGGAGGTAAATTAGGAAAACTTGACCCGTGACCCCATCTTCACCTCCCTGTGTGGATAGTTTGCACCATCTGGAGGCACCCACATACACCTCCAAGTTCTTCTTACATATGGATATGATTCATATATGAGTCATAGCAAGTGGCGTCTCTGTGGGTTTTCTTCATGGCCTTGTAGAACTTTTTTTAAAGGCATTTTTAAACTACTATTTGATAGGGGCTCTCATAGCTGTTCACATACTGTTCACCAGGTAGTTGGATTAGCTAGCTAGTTCTTGTCACGTTGTTTACCTAGATACCACAGGGAGGCGCTCTCGATCCTTCTACAGAAGTAAATAGGTCGATGCTCTGTTTTCTTTCTCCTCAAACTGCGCATGAAAATCTTCAGCATAGTATTTGTATTGCCTACGATCACTGTGGCAGATTTGGCCCGAGATGAGGTAACAAGGAAATCCTAACACATTCAGGGTAGATTGAAGGACCTTCCATGCTTTGATCAGGGCCAAGTTTGGGTTTTTTAAAAAAGCCCAAGAGTTAATGGTTGCATGATGGGAGAAGGACAGGCAGTTTCCTCTACTGCAATTTACTCCTTGTGAAAACCTACTGGAGAGTCAATAATCAGTCGGTTCCGACTGGACAGCGCTCAGTAACAGCAGCAAACATCAGATAGGGAGCTCTGGTGGCCCAGTGGTAAGAAGCTGTACCACAATCCCAAAGGCTCAAATCCACCTACTGTGCTGCAGGAAAAGAAGGATGGTCACTGTCCTCACATACAATTTGTTCTTATGTACTGTTGATACAACAACTCATGTTGTTATGTGCCATTGAGTCACCTGCGACTCATAGCGACCACAACTCTGCCCCATCCTGTTCCAATCTCACTATCTCCGACACACTTACCCCCATTACCCCAGTCACTAAATCAATACATCTCATCAAGGGTCTTCCTTTCTTGCGCTGTTCTTCCACCCTCCCAAGCATGACATCCCTCTTGAAGGACTGGTCCCTCCTGGCAACATATCTAAAGTATGTCAGACAAAGCTAGAATCCTTGCCTCCAAGGAGCAGCCCAGCTTCACCCTTTCCAGGACAAACCTGTTTGTTTTCTTAGCAGTCCATGGAATATTCAGAACTCTTCTCCAGCACCACAGCTCAAAGGCACCAGTTCTCCTCCTACCATCCCTAATCATTGTCCAACTCTCTGATGCATAGCAAGTGTTTGCAAAGACTATGGCATATATCAGGCACACCTTAGTCTCCAGACTGACTTCATTGCACTTCATTATTTTAGAGCGGTCTCTAACCGCAGACTTTCCCATCGCAATACATCTTTTAATTTCCTGGCTGCTCGTGCCGAGATGTTGACTGTGAAGCCATGGGTGATGACTTAGAGCGACCCTATAAACAGTAGCTCTGAACTCTGACCTGTCTTGAGCCAATCTCACTGTCTTTGACACATCTGTCCCCATCGGCACAGTCACTGTGTCAATCCATCTCATTCTTGAGTCTCTCATCTCATTCTTGGGTCTCCCTCTTCTGCACTAACCCTCCACCCTTCCAAGCATGATGTCAGGGACTGGTCTCTTCTGGCAACAAGTCCAAAGTACGTGGGATGGAGCTTCACAATTATTGCCTCCAAAGAGCAATCTAGTTTAACTCTCTCTAGGACAGACCTGTTTGTTCTCTTGGCAGTCCATGGTATGTTCAGTACTCTTCTCCAGCACCACAGCCCAAAGACATCTTTCTTCTTCTGTCAACCTGAGTCATTGTCCAGCTCTCTGATGCATAACAAGTAGTTGAGGAGACCATGGCTTAGATCAGGCGCACCCCAGTCTCTAGACATTCTTGCTTCTTAGCAGTATGGAGAGATCCCTGAAAGCAGACTTTCCCAGTGCAACTCATCTTTTGATTTCCTGCTGCTGGTGCCATGCAATTTACTGCCTCTGAAAATCCACCGGAGGGTCAGCAGTGGGTCGATTCTGACTCAAAGGCACACAACAGCTACAACATCAGATTATGAGGACAACACAGATAGGGTGAGGTTTCTACCTATTGTTCATAGGGTTATTATGTGAGTCATAGGTGAGTTGATGACATTTAAAACTTCTGCTTTGGGGGCAGAGAAGAAAATGTGCAAGAATGAATTTTTAAAAAAGGGGGAAAAAAACAAACAGGAAAAACCCAAAACCAAACAAAATTCCACTCCAAAACAGTTCCATCTGAGACAGAATCAGGGAGTAAGTCTTCCTTGCTGTGCTATTAAAAAGCATGTGCTGTTGAAGCACCATGATTTCCTGGTGAAGTCATAGGAAACTGTAACAGAGAAACTGCCCTCCGTCTTTAAGTGTGTGGTCGAGTCATTCCTGGTCATATGGGTACCTTCATGGGGTGGTAGGGGACCCAGACGTCATTGGCACATGGTCTCCATATTGTTCTTGTTATGTGCCACTCTAGAACTGACCTAAAGCTGACCCTCCAGCAGCTTTCCAGAGTCTGTAAATCGCGCAGGAGGAGATTGCCCGTCCTTCTCCTGTGGAGCAGCTAGTAGATTTGAACCATGTAGCTTTGGATTGCAGTGCAGCTTCTTACCACTGTTGTTATTGTTGTTATGTGTCGTCGAGTTGCTTGCGACTCATAGCGACCCTGTGTACAACAGCCCTAAACTCTGCCCTGTCCTGTGCCAATCGCACTGCCTCTGACATACCCATCCCGATTACCCCAGTCACTGAATCCATCCACCTCACAGAGGGTCTTCCCCTCTTGCACCAGAATTCCCTAGGTGGCCTCCCCCAGAGGTGACCTCATTCTATGAGCATCATTCCAGGAGATCATTGGCATAACCCATAGCGACTCTGTGAACAATTTATCTGAACCGCGCCCTGTCCTGTGCCATCTTCACAATCCCTGACATACTCGAGCCTGTTGCTGCAGTCCCCGTGTCATTCCATCTGGTTGAGGTCTTCCTCTCACATACTCTTGGAGTGTTGCTGGGAGGGGCTATTCCTTGGAGAGGGACATCATGCTTGGAAAGGTGGGAGGGCATCATAGGAGGATCCTCCAATATGGGGTGCTGGGATCATATTTCTGCTGGAAGAAGAGGAGAGGATGAAGTAGGAGTTACCCTTGTTGAAATGCAGCTGTGGTTGTTACCAGTCGGGCTCTGAACCTGCTCTTCCATCCGTTTCTGATCACACTCTTGTTGTGTTCCCTCCCATTGCAATGTGTCTGTCATCGATGGAGAGTCATGGGTGAGGTGTGTATCACAGTCGTCATGTTAAAACTTGGACATGTTACTTGGCAGGCCATTGGCTTTCCTGTTCGGTGCCACCCCCAGTTGGCTAAGTGCCACCTCTGTAGCTCAGGGAAGAGAAAACAGCAGACCTGTTTTATAATAATGGTGTTAGGCAGTATTTATCCTTTTGTGATCGAGCTATTTCACTCTGCATAATATCCTCCAGGCTCCCCATGTGTGTAGTGTTTTACAGGTTCATTGTTTTCCAGTGCTGTGTAATATTCTATTGTGTGACTGTACCATTGTTTTTCTATCCATTCATTTTCTGATGGGTACTTGGGTTGCTGTTGTGAATAATGCATCAAAATGCATGGGTATGCATACACGTGTTTGGGTAGTGGCACCTGTTTCTTTAGGGTCAAATGGTATTTCTATTTCCAACTTTTTGAGAAAGTGCCAGACTGCCTTCCATAGTGGTTGTACCATTTGAGGCTCCCATAAGCAGTGAATAAGCGTTCCCATCTCTCCACTACCTCGTCAGCATTTGTTCTTTGCTAGTATAGTAATTATGTCTTTCATGGGTCATGTTTTTGTTGTCAGATCTGAGAACTCTTTGTGTGAGACATCATCATCTAATGATTTCATGAGGGATTTATAAATGTACATTCTTGTCACTGGAGATACAAATGACACAAAAGCAGAAAAGTACAACTTCTATGTCTTTTCAGGGACAACTGCTATCATTGGTGAAGACCCTTCCTCTTTTTATGCTATCATCATTGTCTAATAAACACATATTTTGAAAGAGACATTTAAAAATTAATGCTCTTCATTCTAGTCAGTAAGATAGAGAGAATATTTCTATTGTTCCTTTTACTTCAATTATAGGCTGAATCATTGTTTATATTTTAAAGTAGCGAGTTCTGTCTCATTTTCCAGAAAATCATGATGTGAAGAACAAAGTGCTGGAAAATAACTTGACTGTTGAGTGGATGAAATAGGCCATTTTACATGGTCTGTTTCTACAGATTAGCTTAATTGGTTAAAATAACTTTGAAATATGTTCATTTTCTTAAAATTGGCAGTGGATTGCTTACATGTATGTGTGCAGGGGTGTGTATGTATGTATGTTTGCACATGGTATTGCAAAACTTGGAGTGCAAGTTCTGCTTATTCCCCAATTTTACACTCCTCATTTCTCTGTGATCTATTCTTTTGTGCTATTTGAAATAACTCAGAATTTGCAGTTGGTTCACATTCTTATTTTTAGCTACAATTTTGTGTTTTCAGCCATAACTGTTTGTTTTTTCTGCAGTTTTGGATTGGTTGGTTGTTTTTTTTTTTCAAAGTTCCTCTTGGTTTTTCGGCCATATCTATTTAGAGCCTTTAAATTTTTTTTTTAGGGTTTTTTTAATTATTATTATTTTTGTGTGCGTGTACCGTCAAATCAGATCTGACTGGTACAGGAGGATATTGCTCCTCCTTCTCCGGCAGAGCATCTGGTGGATTCGAACCTTGCGCCTCTGGGATTGTAGTTGCAGCTCCTTGCCACTAGGCCACCAGAGCTCCCCTTAGAACCTTTTTTAAAAAAACAGAATGACTTGCATTAATATAAGTTGCTTTCATCTTTCTATAGGTATGAATCCTCGGACCCAGAATAAGGATTCTCTAGAGGACAGTGTCTCTACCTCTCCAGATCCAAGTAAGAGGGAGCAGCTGGCGGGGGAGAGGGGTGATAAGGGCATCTGGAAGGGAGAGTTAGCCCTGTGGGAAGAGACCATCTAGAGTCCATTTGTCTGTGAGATGTGGTCAGGAGATATGCTAAGGGAAAATTTAGCCCTTAAAAATAGAGAGTGGCATGGCTGAATAATCCTAAATGGGGCTCAAGGGCGTGTGAGAAGAGTTCCCAGATTCCTACAAGCCCTTAGTGTCAGTCCAGAGCCTGTCCTTAGTTGTTAAGTATTTAATTATCCTCTGGGGAAATATTCAATGCTGGTTACCCATGGTGGACAGGGTTTGTTAGAGCCCCAGATTATGACAGGCTTGGAAGCAGGATTGACACCCACTTCTTAAGCAACAGGCCTTTGGAAACTCTATGAACATTAGAGAAATGATGTTAGTTCTAGAACAGATTTCAGATCTTTTGTTCATAGGATTGCTAGGAGTCGACTCGACGGCACTTAACAACAATGACTAGGGAAATGGCAGGAGGATGTGATAGGAGGAGGAACTGGAGTCATTGACCTACCTCTGGAGGACCTCCAATGAGATGAATCAGCACAGTGACTTCAGTACTGGGCTCTAGTGTGTCTGAGATGATGAGGATGGTACAGGATATGACAGGGTCCAAGTCCGCTGTTCATAAGGTCACCAGTCATACTCAACTCAATGGCACTTAACAACAACAATCAAAAATATTTGACTGAAAGGGAGCTCTGGTGGCCTAATGGCAAGAAGCTGCACTGTAATCCCAAAGGCATGCTGTTCAAATCCACCAGATGCTCCACTGGAGAAGGAGGGATAATCTCCTCCTGTGCCAGTCAGATCTAATTCGACAGTACAAAACAAGAAGGGGGGGGGAAGAGATTAAAAAAAAAAAAGACAGAGCAAAATAGTAAAAAAATTGTCTGGGGGGTTTTTCTTTAGATAATCCTTGCTATTTAGATAATCCTTGAAATTGTGCAAGCTATATAAGAGAACAGATAAATGGCTATAATAACATAATGAGAGAAAAAACCAGCAACTCCCAAACAATCCTACTGCCTGATGGATTTATTTTACTTATCTTTGACTGCTGTGTATGTATCACAGAGCTATTTTTAATGCCATTTTTAGTGTACGGAATAAATCTATTATTTCTCCAGATCTCTCATATTTGTCATCTTTAATGGCAATCTTAATCACCTAACTATATCCTAAAGGAGTTCTGGTAGCCTCGTGGCAAGGAGTTGGGCTGGCAACCCAAAGGCAGGCAGTTTAAATCCTTCTGCTGTTCTGTGGGAGGAAGCTGGGCAGTCTCCTCGCATTTAATTTACAGCCTCTGAAGAGCTGCTGGAGGGTCAGCTATAAGTTGGTTGTGACTTGATAGCAATGAGATGATGAAGTATATTGTATTTATAACTTTTTTTAAATAGAATTAATAATAATTTTTTTGCTGGTGGACATTTGGGTTGTGTCCAGTTTTTTAACTATAGCATGTTGCAGCTGTTGTGTGTACCATAGAGTTGGAACTGCCCTCTAGTTGACCCTCCGTCGGGTTTTCAGAAGCAGTTAATTGCACGGGAGGAGATTGCCCATCCTTCTCTCACAGAGCAGCTGGTGGCCTTGAACCGCTTGCCTCTGGGATTACAGTGCAGCTTCTTGCCACTCGGCCACCAGAGCTCCTAACTATAGCATATCAAACAGATTTAATGTGTGATGCTATTATTTTTTTTTCTCTTGATTGATGTCCTTGGTATCTCATCCCAAAAGCCTGGTTGTCAGGTGGGATATTTTCCAGAAAGCTGCTGCCATGAGGAGATGAGCCTCATTCTCTGCTACTTGGTACTGGATCGTCCCGCCTGTTCATCATTGCTAACGTAATGGTTCTGAGGTGTGACCCCTGCAGGGGTTTTCTTTGTAGGGCTGGAAGAATTGGGGGCTCTTTTGTAGAGGTTGAACTCTGGAGACAAGAGTGTCATTGAGCTAAGGACTGAGAACCATTCTCAGCGTGAGATCTTGGGCCAGGCTTTTGAATTCTCTATTTCGGGTATGTGGCCTGCAGGAAATAGTTTGGAAAGGTTTTTGTAAGTCCTGGAAGCTGCTGAGGGCCAGAGTGATGCAAGAGCGAAGGACGGTATAGCTGTCTTCTGTTTCTGTTCACTGTTGGGACTTTGAACAAGTCCTTTTTTTCCTTTTGCTTCTGGTTCTCACTAAGAAGTAGGGAAACACATTCCATCTCAACCTGCTATTTAGGGAAAATGGTAAGGAGTTGTACTGCTAACCCAAAGGCAGGTAATTCAAATCTACCAGCTGCTCTGCAGGAGAAAAATGGACAGTTCCCTCCCATGTGATTTAAAGCCTCTGAAAATCTGCTGGAGGGTCAACTATGAATCAGTTCCGACTAGACAGCATATAATAACGACAGCTGTTACTCAGTGCTTCAGTGCTGCTGTAACAGCAGTCGGGAGCTCTGATGACTTAGTGGTAGGAGTTTTACTGCCCATTTTCCAGGAGATTTTCAGAGGCTGTAAATCACGTGAGAGAATGCCTGTCTTTCTTCCAGTGAGTAACTTGTGGGTTTGAACTGCATGCCTTTGGATTGGCGGTGTACCTCCTTACTCACTAGGCCACCAGATCTCTGTATGTAGGGAAATGGAAGTGATTAATTAGGGAATTCTGGGCCGCGTTTAAGGTGTCCTGACGGTGCAGTAGGTTACTAGTTGGGCTGCTAACTGCAAAGTTGCTGATTCGAGCCCACAGGTGTTCTGTGGAGGAAATGATGAGGCAGTTGGCTCCCATAAACAGTTACAGGCTTTGCAACTTTGTGGCTAGTTCTCTTGTGTCCTCAGGCATCTGAGTGGGAAATGGTGGTGGGTTTGAATTTTTGTTTGGGCTCTATTATCCGCTGTACAAAGTGCTAACAAATTAAGAAGACAAGTCTAGACCATGAGGTTAGACCGTTGGCATTGATGCTGCCCAGGGCGTGTTTCTCATTGAGGTCCTCTCTGGTCCTGTAACTCCTGACTCAGCAGGACTGAGTTCTGTGGGGTAGCATTAGTCTGGTCCTGACTCTACTACCATCTCTAACCTCTCAGAGGTTTGATTCGTCTGTGAAGGGGCTGGTAGAGCCACGGTGCTCTGTGGAGGCAGTGTGAGGTCTGATGTGACAGCAGGTGCTGCACTATTTTGTATGCTGTTGAGATGTGCCATCGAGGTGGAATTGACTCATAGCTGACCCTCCAGCGTGTTGTAAATTGCACGGGAGGATACTACCCACCTTTCTCCCTTCTAGCAACTAGTGGATTCGAACTGTGGCAGCTCAGTTTCTTACCACTAGAGTTTTCTACCATATTGTATTTTTGGTTGTTGTTAGATACCAGTGAGTCAGAACTAACTCATTGCTGACCCTCCAGTGGGTTTTTAGAGGCAATAATTCACATGGGAGGAGATTGCCTATTTTTCCTCCCCCAGAGCGTGGGGTGAATTTGAACCACATGCCTCTGAGTTGTTAGCATAGCTCTTTACCACTGAACCACCAGCACTCCGTGCCACGTTGTATGTTGTTGTCGTGTACCATAGAGTCATAGCTGACCCTCGGCAGGTTTTTAGAGGCAGTTAATTGCATGGGAGCAGCTGGGAGATTCGAACCATGCGCCTTTGATTTCAACACAGCTTCTTCCCACTAAGCCACCAGTGCTTCCTACATTGTATATAGTACTATACAAATGGAAGGTGTATGAGTACCCTGCAAATGATTCAGAGGGAAAAAACCAAGACAGATTTCTGCTTCATAGACTCCCTCTTAGAGAAATTTGAAAAGAACTTTTTCCTTAAATTACTTAGAAGAGAGAAATTCCCTTATCCTTCAGCTCAGTGATTCTCCACCAGGGATGGTTTGTCCCCCACCCTGACATTTGTGACTGTCTGGAGGTATCTTTAGTTGCTACTGAAAGCTAGTGGGTAGAGGCCTGTGATGCCACTCAGCGTCCTTTAGTGCATCAGACAGCATCCCGTTCAGCAGAGAATTAGCTGGTCCAGAGTGGCACTGATGCCAAAGTTGAGAAAGCTGCTTCAGCTGACACACATGCGCGTATAGGAACAGACCCCCGCGTTTGAGCCCATGCTGCAGACTGCAGCTTGCCCTCCCTGAGTATTGACCCTGTGTCTGGAGTTTTGGCCTCAGAGCGCTCCTAGAAGCCTTCCTTGACTTCACCCCCGACCTTTCCTGGGTTTTGTTCCTCAGTTTTTCCATCCTGAAAACATGCTGTGTTCTGCTGCTCTGTGCTGCTATTTTCTCTGAACCCCCAGGCTCAGCTCCCCTCCTATCCCCACCCTGGCCCCTCTGCAGTCCCCTGGGAAGAGACTGTGGCTGAAGCCCCCTCCTCTGCTCCTGAGTGTTGACTTGCTTCGCCAGTGACTCTGCCCACCCTGCAGTAACCTCCTTGGCATTGCGGTTGCAGCTCTCAAGACCCACAGACTAGGAATTTTGGCTGCTACGCATCGGTGGGATTCGGATCAGCATGTCTGCTGTGATGTCTAACAGACTCTGTTTCTCTTTCTCTTCTTCCCCCTTTCCACCCCTTCCCTTCTCTCTCTCCCATCCTGGCACCTTCATTATCTGACACATTCTCCCCATCACCCCCATGCCCACCCCTCTAATCTCCCCATGTCTTCTCCTCCTTACATCCTGCAACCAACCGCTGTGGCGCCCGCCTGTGTGGCCTTTGCCCTGTGACACGAGGCAGTTCTGACGCTGTCTGCTCCCCCTGTAGTGCCAGGCTTCTGTTGCACAGTCGGCGTGGACTGGAAATCTCTCACAACTCCCGCGTGCCTCCCCCTCACCACCGACTACTTCCCTGACCGCCAGGGCCTGCAGAACGATTACACCGAAGGCTGCTATGACCTCCTCCCGGAAACAGACATTGACAGGTGGGTGTCGGTGGGGGACCGGGGGCGAGGGGTTGGGATGGGGTGTGGGGACGACAGACATTGACAGATGGGCATTGGGGGGGAATAGACATTGACAGGTGGGTGTAGGGGGGACAGACATTGACAGATGGATGTCGGCGGGAGGGGGGGAACAGACACTGACAGGTAGGTGTGTTGGGGGAACAGACATTGACAGGTGGGTGTTGGCGGGGGTAGGGCTTGGGGGTGGGAGTGGGTGGGGAACAGACATTGACAGGTGAGTGTTGGGGGGGACAGACATTGACAGGTGTGTGTTGGCAGGTGGGGAACAGACATTGACAGGTGGGTGATGTGGGGGAGGGAACAGACATTGACAGGTGGGTGTCCTGGGTGTGGAGGGGTAGCTCCACCCTACTACACCTTGTCCTTGGAGCATCAGTGTGGATCCCCAGTTCTCAAACCTGCACCCGCCCTTCTATACACCATGAGGTGGGCATTGCTGACTTTTCTTTAGTGTTCTTATCACCACACATACCTCCTTGACAAGTGCTCCCATGGATGCTAGTTCATGTTTTCCAATGAAGTCATTTTTCAAAATTGGTTTTCATTCAGTCAGTCATAGACATGTTTTTTTAAATATTGGTTACAGATTGCTCAATGCCTTTCATATGTCCATTAATGCTTTCATAATTTTTATCTTTATTTATCAGTTACTCACACAGGAGGATATTGTCCCTCCTCCTCACGCAGAGCAGCTGCTGTCCTCGAACCATGTGTCTTCAGGATTGCAGTGCAGCTTCTTGCTCCTAGGCCACCAGAGCTCCCTAATTTATCAGAACTCAATTTCATAACGTCTTGCCTGATCTCACTGTACCTTATTTACCTGTCCTTTTACTCCATCCACTGATCTCTTTTGCCCTACTATTTTGCCCCCTCCCTGCTTCCCCTCTACGCCTCCGCTCTTCTCCCTTCCTTCCGCCTCGTTTGAACAGTTACACATACCCTGCTCCAAGTTGCTAATTGCAATACTCACTTTGTCTGTTTCTTTCCAGCTTGATCTCCCCTTCCCCTGCTTTTTTAAGGTATCCATTGTCTTTATATTTTATTTTTTCTCTCCCTGTCCTACCTACCAACCACCCTCAACTGATGAAGTAATTTTGGATTTAATGGCATCTGCTTTTCTTTTCTAAGATTACCTAGTTAGGCATTGAATTACCTGGCTCCTTCCTTCCTTCCTTCCTTCCCTCCCTCCCTCCCTCCCTCTCTTCCTTCCTTCCTTCCTTCCTTCCTCCCTCCCTCCCTCCCTCCC